AGATAAGATAAGATAAGATAAGATAAGATAAGATAAGATAAGATAAGATAAGATAAGATAAGATAAGATAAGATAAGATAGACATTTCTTGTCACTGTACAGAGCACAATGAAATTACAGCTCAAAACACCCATTCAGAGGAAGACAGAATGTAAACACAGGAGAACAGGTGCCCTGGGTCATGCAGCCCCAGACCCCTGCACAGAGCAAGGATCATCTTCATGAAGACATCGTGAGGAGGCTCAACCCTTAAAAGAAAAACTAAAAACCACACAAGGATAGATGAGAAAAAAAACATCATATTACATCAACAAAATTTGACACACTATGGTGTTTATTGAAAAAAAACTCAGCGTAGGGCACATTTATTGGCCAGAGAAGTAAGATGAGTTTAGGGGGGGGGGGGTGTCTCTGTAGCCTGAGTAGTGTATGCACTTGTGTGAATATCTGAAAAATTAGCCTGAAGAATCGAGTCCCCAAAAATCCATGCAGCCATAGTTCCGAATATGGTTGTTAACTGTTCGTTCATTGTGTGCGGCCCTCAGCTTGCTCCAGGAACCAGACGGGAGTGAGAGTGGGGAAAGGTGGGGGGCAGGCCCTCAGTCGATGTAAACTTTCAGGAGAATTTAGTTACATGGCTCTTCAAGGCCATAGGAGAGCCAAATCTGTAATCAGTTGTTTGGGAACAGAAGACACTGTTTTCGGCCAGGCAGACAATAAGAATTTTCCATCTGCCTTCATGTTAAATAGATTTCCTAAAAATAAAAAGTTAAAACCGCCACTATTTTATGCACAAACAATTTTATTTACACTACTAACATAACAAGAACAGGCTCTAATTTCCAATGTGCACCTAAAAATAAGAATGCTGTCAAACACTGTTTATTGTCATCTTCAAAGATGGAGAAGGAAATTAAAAAGTAATGGCACTGAATCCGCAAACCTTGATTCTTGATTGTTTTTATTAGTTTGTTTTTTGTGTGTGTTTTATTCAAAGCCAGAGGGAAATGTAGTAAACAACTGAAATTCTATCCAACAATAGATATTCCTCACATAGTCCTGATACATTCAAGCATTTTCAGATGGTTCAGGCAGGGATAACAGTATGTTTCGGTTACATCCTGTAGATGGTAGCATTGTAAAAAAAAAAAAAAAAAAAAAATACTTTTCTGATTACTGCTTCCGTCCACACAAGTCTAATCATGCAGCAGCAAAGCTCATTTAATGCAGCAAAAAAGTCTTCTCTCTGCTTCATTTTTAGGTTGAACTTCACATGGTTATCCTCATTTGAACTTCTGAATTCCCTGCAATTTGCTGTGTAAGCGGTTCAATTTCAACACCTTCCCAAGGGTGCATGGC